ACCTTCACTCTCTTTGTGGCATGCATATATATATATGTCTGTGTGTATAACACACACACACTGTGCTTTTTCTATTAAGCATATGAGATTAATTATGGGGATATGTTTTGCAGCTTTGTAATGTTTTCTTTTTTTAGTGTTTCATTCTGTTTCTCATACCAGCACTCACAATAAAAAAATTAAATACCCATCACTATCAGATCACGATCTAATAACTATTAGGGAGACAAAATAAGTCTGTTAGCATGATGTGAAAACAAAATGCTTAATGATCACACTAATTCTTTCCTTAAAATACTTCTAATGAAAGTTATTTCTATCTAGATGTCTTAATTTGTAACTTAATACAAAAAGGCACACTTACCATTTTAAGACACCTACCGGTAATCAAGTTGAATAGAACATATACTCTTGTACAGGACTGAAACCTATTTCTTTGTTTAACAGCTGTTTCATTGCCAATGGTACTTCGCAAGGATTCTCATCCACAAACCAGTCAAGTGAGTACTTAAATCAAAAATGATTTAAAGTTGGAATGTGAACTACCACTACAAAACCTACCACCAGTTCAGTCATTTGCAAAGATGCATGGGTACCTCCAGAAATAAGTATAGATTGAAAAACAGTTAAAATGTGGTGATTGACTAATATGGCGGAGGCATGCACAATAATTGAGTTTCCCCCTATTTTTTCCATTGTGACAGCCAGTCCTGTATCAGGAAGGGGGGAAATGGCCATTTTGTGAGTTCAACTAGTTTCTGTTATTTCACCTATATATTCTCCTTTCTTTTGATTTTTAAGAGATATCGAAGTGGATATCTGCACTCTCTTTATTGGCATCCTCAACTTTACCACCATCACCAAAACCAGATCTTGTCATTAAGGAATACAAAGCACTGCTTATTTGTAATGGCATCGCTAACTGCCCCTAAGGACCATTCCACAGGAATAAAAGCAAACAGGCCAGCACAAACCCCTTTGAATAATTTTATATTATTTGCTGTAAACTAAGACTAATTATTTTAAATCTGCCAAATTGTTGAAAACAGATAGCTCCTCCGCACCCTTTTCAATGAACTCCAACCTTTGTTTCAAGTCCAACAAAATTTAGTCTAAAACAACACAATTTATAAAAGACAAAATTTGTTTAATTGTAAGGAGCAAATAACTGCTTCAAGATTAATTATCTGCTGCCAGAGTCTAGAAACAGTATCTTGTTGTATGTCTTCAAGTTGTTTCTGACCAATAGCAATCCTAAAGCAAACTTATCAGAGGGATTTCTTGGCAAGATTTCATCAGAGAGTCTTTTCCTTTGCCCTCCTTTGAGGCTGAGAGAGAGAGTAGTCACCTGGCAAGTTTTCCTAACTGAAATTCAAACCCTGGTCTCCAGAATTGTAATCTGACACAAAACAATTACAACACCCTGCCCCTCCATATGCATCTATAATATTGTAAAACATAATGACAATCATTGGATCGTAGAGAATACTTTCCACAATATCAGCCTGCTAGATTTATTGACTATAAGTTGTGCATCCTATGATAGGTTTTTATAAATTCAGCTTCAAATAACTTATTTGATGATGTACATGTAATTGGTAGATTATCAGATAGGTGAACTGGGCTTTAAGGCATCACATAACCAAGACCTTAGGAATAAATTCCAGAGTTTAGTAAGGTTCACTCTTGAACAAGCATGTTTAGAATCATATTAAAAACAAAACTAACCAATTATAAACATTAGCAAAAAGATGTAATTGGCTTTCTTAGCACAGCTCTCTTACATTCATTGAAAATTTATCATTTAAATAAACAGACAAATAATTGGACACTGAGAATTTTAAATTACCTTGAACAGAACCACAATTTGCAGTAGAGCTGTCACCTCATATCATCCTATATCACATGTCCATTTAAAATTGTAATGGAAAACAGGCAGGACTTCTGTGGAGGAAAGCAATTTTATCTTTTAAGAGGCTGTTTTAACCCAATTATAGAGCCAGAGTATAAAGTCAGAAGGTGCAGAAGAATTATCAAAAGCAGTCTTTGAACTGCACCCAGTGTTATTATGGTTGTGGACAAATTTAATGAACTGCTACAGAGACCTTGATCATTTTGTATGCATGTAGGCCTTGCAATTTTTTTGTACACTGATCAAAAAGAACCTTTTATATATTACCCGTAGTCACGGTCCATGCATCACAACATTTAAAAAATGAAGATTAGCAGCCTAACTGTTTATAGCCATTCTGCTCCATTGTAACTTAACACAACTTTTCATGGAGTTATATCCACTTAACTCTATTGTAGCTATGAGAACGAGAAACATTTGCCTTGTTCCTGTAATTTATCAGATTCAAGACTAGAATTATTTGCATGCAGATTTATGGTAACTTTAAATTCAGGAGGATTTATCTTTCTGTAGATATGGAGGAGTTGCCAGTGTAACAACTGAATTCGCTCCAATTGTCCACTGTGTTATATATATGCATGAGACTGCAGTTTAGCTACCTGAAATAGGATTTTAATAAAAGAAGGGCCACATAAAATACTTCTCTAGAGTAAGAATATTTGGTCTCATTTTATTATTTTTCTGGAAAAAATGCACACTATTGGATAACAACCAGAATTATATTATTTTAAGACAAATATTAAATTATTACGCTCAAAGTTCACTGATGTTAAGTATTGTGGGGTTGTAAAATGGGATTTAACAAAGGAAGATTCCCCCATGAAACGAGGCATGCTTTTCCTAAAAGCATTCTATCATTCAAATCTCACTGTGTTTGGGAACAAACATACAACTGCCATGAACTAGCACAACGATTTATTGTTTAAGATACTGAACTGGCACATCACGGTCATGGAAATCTTAAGAGCTTCTAAAAGAACAATAGGTACTACGCACTTTTTAAAAAAGCAAGCTCCATTGAAAACAGTAAGAAAACACAAACTGAAGCTACACAAAAGTAGGCTTGAGATTCTTTATTAACAATAAACACTACTAGCATCTATATTGAACAGCAATGAGGCAGAAAATGACACAAAGCCAGCTCTTTGCGAATCCTTTCTCAGGAAAAACAGAGGTGCCACAAAGACCCACCATCACTGCATAAAAAACAAGCAGAAAGGGAGGACTGGGTGCATTGGAAGGAATGGTTCAGGATTAAGGAAATGGCTACAGTGGCTTTGTTTCATAACTGCCTTTTAAATTATACTACGAATAAGCCTAGGACAGTATTATGCTATCTACAATTTCGAGATTAGTTCAAATTAGTTCAAAATCAAGGGTCTAGCATTAAAAAATGTTCCATTTCATCTTTTATTTTTTGAAATCAATGCCAATAATTTAGCTCATGTTCTTCACATATTCAATATTGCATGTTGAAAAGCTCCCACTTGGTGTTCTCTTTCCCTCTCACACAAAAAATATTTTTGTGTGAAAATGATTCCTAAATGTACATTTTCCCCACCCCACCCCCGAAATTAAGCACAATGCATCTCAAAACCATTTTGACAGAACAGACATCATGCCAGACAGCAAACCGAGGAAGGGGACAAGGAATCTGATTTCACCAGCATAAGACATTTTTGCTACTTTTTGCAAAACGGCTCCCACAAGCCACAAGCGTTCCGCATCAGCTTATTGTTCAAACAAACAATCCAAATGTCAAGAGCTATTTTAAAAGGTGAGAGAAAATCCTTTTAAAAAAAGATATGTCACCGACGAAGACCGAGAACGAGATTCAGACATAGAGGGAGTTGTACCTTGCAAGCTTGCCACCAGTGCAACTTGGAGAGCATCAGTTTAAACAAGGCGATGCATTCAGAAAGAGAACCAAAAGAAGAGGGGAGAAAAGAGGGATCAACTCCCAAACACGAGCTGTTATTGACAGGGCGGGTGATCCTCCAGGAGGGGGAAAGGCGCGGGTGAAAAAAGAAGAGCCAACAACAACAACAACAAAAGAAGAAGATGGGAAAGTTACAAAAAGGGCCGCAGTTGGCCAGAATCGGCGACAAGGAGCCAGAAGGGGCCGGAGCCAGGAGCAGGAGCCCCGCGGGGAAGAGGCGGCAACGGCGTCGGGAGGAGGAGGAGGACCTCGCTGGGAAGGCGCTGCGGCTCCAGTGTTGTGCCGGGCGAGCGGGCGGGCTCCAAGTCTCGCCGGCAGCAGCGGGGAGGAGACCCAAGTCTCGGCGGCGGAAGGGGAGGAGGAGGCGAACGATCGCGAGGCTGGCGAGCTTCTGCCGGGAAGCTGAAGCGAAAAGGCAGCCCGCCCGGCAAAAAAAGAAAATGGCCCCGAGTTCGAGAGGAGGGCCGAGCCAAAACCGCACACACAAAAACAACAACAACAGGCCAGGCGAGGCGAAAAGAGCAGCAGCCAATCCAGGAGGGCCGAGCAGGAACACTAAGTCACGTCGGCGCGGGTGGAATAAGCCCGGCGCCCGCTCCTGGCCCCGCCCGCCCGCCCGCCGCCTTTTGGCTCCGCCCCCTCCCTCCTTGCCTCTCACGTCCTAAAGTCTCCTCCAAGGATCGGGTGCGGCGAGGAAGAAGGCCTTCTCACCCACCCGACCAGCCAACCAAGCCACCCACCCCGCCCTTCCTCCTCCGCCTCCTCTTCGTAACACGAGCAGGCCGCCCTTGGGCTCCCCTGCCCCCTCCAGCCCAGCCCAGCCCGTCTCCGCTGACAGCGCAGCTCCACGGGCACAAAATGGGGCTGCGCTTCTCTATGGGCGCCGCCATTTTGTGACGAGCTGGCGGAGCGGCCTTCGGTGCTGGCTCTGGCCGGGATAGGCAGGCAAACGGGCAGGACTCCTAGGCCGGATAGTGCTGGACTACCGTGCCCCCCCCCCCCGTGACGCCGCTCCCTCCAGGGAATCCCCAGCTGACTGTTGTTACGTAAGGGACGGTGCGCAAAAGCCTGGCCGCCCCACGCGAGGAGAGTCCGTCTCCTGGGCTGCTCCCGCCACTCGCTCTGCGGCGAGGGAAGTGACTCACTCACCTCTGCCAGAGGGAGACCCCTAGTTTTTGAGTCATTCGAGGACTGTGTTTACAACTCTTCCCTCCTCCTTCTCCTCCTCCTGCGTGGAGGACGGTGTCCCCGTCAGGCGCTGAGAACTGGCTGTAGGGTTGGGGTAATTTCTGCAGATAATCTCAAAAGTATCCCCCCATCCCACAAAAAACCACCCATCTTCATGTAAGGATACAGTCACATTCGCTCCAATGATGGAGGCGTTGTGAGGGAGATAGATGCAAGGCAGAAGACCATCCCAAACTGGGAAATGATCCCAAACATGATTGTGACCTGGAGAGCACCCTTGGCATTTCAATGCACCTTTTATCTCCCTGTATCCGAGCGGCAATCCGGATGAAAGATAAAAATAATCTTAGATTTTAATTTCCTGGAGTAATTTAGTGCATGGCATAAAGGGAATATAGATTTCCCTGACAGGCCTGCTAGAGACTATAATGTGCCATCGATTTTTAAGCAGAACTCTACCAACTTTGGTTATGAGGTCTCCGAATTGATAATGTGATGATACAGGATGAGGCTCCAGTTATTACTTGAGAGAAAAGGGTGCCCTTTGTTCCCTATTCAAAAAATACCCAGAATCCTGATTGCTCTAAAGGAAGGACAGGTATCTACCATTACTGTACAAATATAATGTCTGTGACCATTTTTAGCAGACACTTACCTAGAAATGTAATTTACTTTATGAGCTTATCCTCCACTCCATTTCTGATAGGAAAAGGGCCACGATTGAGACATATACATTAATTTGAGTTTCCAAGGAGAGCAAAGCATGTATTTGAAGTCCCATTTACTTAGTGGCTGGAACCTCTTTATTATGTAGATGAGCCTTATTGTGTTACCTTGTAGGAACAAAAGTAAGACATTCCTTTTGAAATGCATGCACACAGGTTAAAATGTCTGATTTAGGAGTCAGTTATTGTGATCAAATTTTCTTTCTGCTTCTCTTTGCCCTTCTCTCCTCTTGGGCTATCACAGTTTCACTAACAGCAGTGGTTAATACCTGTGCTGATGCAAGGGAATACTACATCTTCTAGACAAGAGTGTGTAGGGTTGCAGCTGTGTTACTGGGTGAGTGTCATGCAAGACTCCATTGATAAGAACTTGCTTGCCCAATTCTGTGAACTGTACTTCACTGGTATGCTTAAATATGGCACCTGAAATTATAACAAGTGTATTATCTTTGCCATGAACATGATCAGAGTACAGAAAAAAAGATATACATCAACAGAGTAAATATGCAAAAAATAACCAGTGAACAAGTCTTGCCAGGTATACAGTGACATCTGCATGCTTCCCACTTTGTTGTATCTGTCTTTTTCTACCTGCCAAGCCTAGATGTTCCACTCTTTGGGTCTCCACACATTCCTGTGTCTTCATTCCCTTTCCTAGTAGCTATACTCTCTCATAGCATGTATCTACACACCCCTTCTTCCATCACATAGTTTCCGGGGCTTTTATGGCACAAACAATTGCTCCATTTTAGAAATCCTGGGGGCTCTCTCCTCAGGTTTTGGATTAGAATATCCTGCATCCTGACAGTTGTGGATTGTTAACAGAAATATTTTGAGAATTTCTGGAATCCTCCCCTTATGCTATTCTGTACTCTCTGGCTGGCTTGAGGAATAGTGGATATGTATGAGTATATAAACACCAATAAAGTATCAAATATCTGAAGCTTATAAAAATAATTCTGTATATAAAGCATGGGACTGGATTCACTCTTGAAGCAGATCAATTGAAATAAATTGAACATACATTACTCATGACCAACATGCAGGATTTGTGTCTACATTATTAAAGCTGGCTGGATCCACAGTGGGCCATGTTTTTTTCCAAGACCCCCTTTTCCTGCATAGGTGGTGCTCCTTGATAACTTTATTGTTATATGCACAAACTGACTTTTCTATAGGCTTTTCTAGGCTCATTTATTCAGAAGAGATTTGCCATTGCACTCTTAGGCTGGAAAAGTGTAACTTGCTCTAGGTCACCCAGTGGGTTTCCATGGCTGAGTGGGGATTTGAACCCAGACGTCAACAACAAATTGCTACACTACACTGGTTCTCTTGATAAGTAAGGTTCCATTATTGTCCAGTAACTTTATAGTGCAGTGGTTCTCAACCTGTGGGTCCCCAGGTGTTTTGGCCTACAACTCCCAGAAATCCCAGCCAGTTTACCAGCTGTTAGGATTTCTGGGAGTTGAAGGCCAAAACATCTGGGAACCCACAGGTTGAGAACCACTGGTATAGTGTATTTCATGTGTTCTGGGCATAATACACTTTATTATTGAGACTAAATCCCTGTAATGTCGGCTGGTATATATCTCCTTCCCATGGTGGTTGGGTTTAAATGCTTATTAAATTATGTCTGTATATATGTACTTGTTGGCATTGAATATTTGCCTTTTATGTTGTTAGCCACTCTTAAGTTCCATATTAGGCGATGGGACCCAATATGGGCCCATCATTATGGAAGCTGTTTTATTAATATTGAAGCTGTTAGAGGCCTAAAATCAACTGAGTCTGTGATATCACACTAGAGAACGAATCTACTTTAAATCCTCTTTTTGCTTCCTGCAGAATTCTGGGGTTTGTAGTTTAGTAAGGCTATTAAAGGATCCTCCCTAAACTAAAATCCCCAGAATTCTGCAGGAAGCAAAAAGAGGATTTAAAGTAGATTCATTCTCTAGTGTGATGAATTATTCCAGATAGGATTTGAAATGACAAGGCTTCCAAGCTCTGCCACATTAGACGTAACCTATGCATACAGTAACAAATAAGTATTTTCCTGGTTGATTTTCCCAATATTTTTGGATTTCTAACATTGTATCATTAGTATCCAGAGGTCATCTGCTTCATATTTCAAAGTGGATATAAGTCATGTTAATGTTTGTATATATTTATGATTTTATTTCCAGGCATTGAATGTTTGTCATGTATATGAGTCCCCTGCGGGGTGAGAAGGGCGGAATATAAAGGTTTTAAATAAACAAACAAATAAATAAAACTTTTAAAAATCTCTATATCACTTTGAATTGCAGGGGTCAGGAACTGTCATCAAATTACTTTGGGTCATGTATCATGTGATATGAGAAAATGTGTATATTTTAAATATATAGCTCAGTTCACAACAAACCAGGACTTGCCAAGCTGGATCCTCAAATATTTGAAATTAAAATTCCATTAAAGATTTCTCTGTTTCTTAAACACACCCTGTGTATTGATAATAAAACACCTAATCCTCCCCCACCCCCCACCCACAATCCTACGCTATGGTATTCATTAAAGCAGTTCTCCCTTTCCCGCTCCCACACATGGAAGCCTCCTTTTGCTTCTAACTTTTGAAAGATCAGGGTGAAGGAGACTTCCTCCTAAGCAATCCTACTCATTTGAAGCATATGCTGCCCATCCTCTCCCCCCCGCTCCCTGAGCCTTCTCCTGCCTTTTCTCTTTCCGCCCGGCTTTGTGTGAAGTTTGCGGCACATTGCAGATGAGCCCTTAGCCGCGAGAGAAGCCTATTGTTCCCCGCCAGGAACTGCTCGCTGGCAATGCTGGCTTTTGCCATTTCGGAGCTGCCTTTTGCAGTGCCGCGGCCGGCCTCTGGGGTTCGCTGTGTTGCGCCTTCGCCCAGGCAGCAGCACGGCGGCCTCAGATCTTTTTGTCTGAGAGAGGAGAAGTGAATCCCGCTGCCGCCGCCGCCGCCGTACAGTGTATGTGTGTGTGTGTGTGTAAGAGCGAGAGGGAGCGCGAGAGAGGGGAGATTTCATGGATCCGCGTCTGTAATACACACACACACACACACACTGTCAGTCCCTCACCCCAGCCTCCCCCACCCCCACCCGACCACAACACTAACCCAATTCATTGTGTGATCCAGCAGCACCATGTTGAGTCTCATGTGCAGCCTGGATCGGTTGGGTTGGTGGTGCTGAGAGGCAGGCAGGCAGAACACTAACCCAATTCATTGTGTGATCCAGCAGCACCATGTTGAGTCTCATGTGCAGCCTGGATCGGTTGGGTTGGTGGTGCTGAGAGGCAGGCAGGCAGGCAGCGGCGGCGGCGAGGAGAAGCACCGAGAGGCGCCCCCCTCTCGCCTGGTGTGTGTTGTCACTCTCTCCGGCTTCCCTTATTCCTTTTAAACTTTTCTCTTTCTGGTTTTTCTCTCTTTTTTTCCGAAACCAACCAGCCCCTCTCCATGGCTGATCCCCGGCCGAGCACAGGAACCTGGGTCTCTTAAAGGCAAGGAGGAGCCGCGGACTGTTGTTGTTTTTCTATTGGATTTTTTTAAGGAGACAAAACCCCGAGCTTTTTTTTTTCTCTACCAAACCCGAACAAAGATATGGCCAATCCGACGGGCAAGAACCCCCCAGACCACCGGAGAAAAGGACTGGCTTTCCTGGACGAGCTGCGGCAGTTTCACCACAGCAGAGGGTGAGCAAAATGGGGAGATGGTGGCGGCGGCTGGGAAGGCAGCAGCAGGAGGAGGAGGGGGGGAGGCGGCTGAAACCGACCGATTTTAACTTTAAAGGGCGAGGAGGGGGGGAAAGGGGGCCCCCCGAGTTGACAAGTTGTTTGCGTGTCTCTCTTTCCGCCAGGTCGCCTTTCAAGAAGATCCCCGTGGTGGCTGGGAGAGAGCTGGATCTCCACGCTCTCTACACCCGAGTCACCACTTTGGGCGGCTTTGGGAAGGTGAGTGGAAGTTTTAATTCGCCTCCCGCTCCCGCCGGCCTCTTCCCCAAACTCGGCCCTGACCCTCGGGGGCCCAGGCCGGCGGCGGGGCCCCCGGGAAGACCCCTTTTTCCAGCCGGATTGGCGAGGGGGGGGGAGGCTGGGAGAAGGAAGCAGGCAAGGCAGGTTGGTGCCTTGGCCTTGTCGGTGAAGCGGGGGATCCGGGGCGGGGGAGGGGGGCTCACGTTCCCGGGGAATCGTGCCAGCATTGGGGGGGCCTTGGCCTCCATTTCCCGGGTGGGAATGAGGGCGAAAGGCGCTGTAGATGTGTGTGTAGATGAGGGGTAGTTTGCTTCCGCTTGTGCCTGCCTGCCGCTCTCTCGCTCTCTCTCTCTCTCTTCGCGCTCTGAGTCTGAGTGCAGTTTTCGTGCAACTCAAAATTAGCGGGCATGTTTTCCCATCGATAATCGGCACGGGGCTGGGGAAGGATCCGGGCCCAGGCGCTGCCCTGGGAGCCCTTCCCGGGGAGGAATAACAAAAGGGGCAGCCGAGGCGGCGGTGGAATCGAATAGCCATCTTTAGGCTTCAAGGCTG